CCAAAGATCTTCAGTTTTTTTGACATTAATACAATTAAATGTTTTAATAATTGAGCAGACGTTAACGTGTCTAAAATAAAATTCAGTATTGCACTTATCAACAACTGACTCTAGATGCGTAACCGCAAGTTTAGAACATGAACTAAGATTTCTTGTGATTTCTATTGGTGTCTTAGAAAAGAATTTCTCAAATGTCTCGGCAACCGCTTCATCTGTTTTAATAATTTTATTGTCAACCTCTAATGAGTATGTGCGCATATTACTTTTATTTTTACCCGTTTCTTGATTTATGATAGTCCAGGTTGTTTTTATTTTATTTTCTGAATTGTAAATTTTTTCAGATATATATTTTGCTTTTGCTGAAACACATACTTTCCTAAAAATTTTCGAATAATTTCTGACATATTCAATAAACTTTGGATCGGTCGAGGTACACTTTAGCTCATACAAATCATACAGCCTATTTCGACTTTTGTAGATGCCAGGTGTAGCCCAATCACTAAATTTCTTTTTTTGGTTAGTAAATTTAATTGTTTTGAGTTTAAATGTTTTATCAAATTCTCCCTTTATCAAGTTAAAGAAATTATTATAAACATCATTTATATTTTCCAAATTACTAGTTGTCAACTGAGTATGATTTGCAGAAACACTGTTTTTAAATTTTTCTAAATTACTTTTGGTAATAGGTCTACAAATTATATTGCATTTAGGAGAAACATGATGGTGCTCGAAAGTTGCTAGAACTCCGCTATGGTCAGATTGAATACAATTTATTATCGATTTTTTGAACACCTTACATTTACAAAAAATATTATCTAAGCAAGTAGCAGATGTGGGTGTAATGCGGGTAGGTTCATTAAAAATATTTTCTAAATTAAAACATTTAAACAAGTTCAAAAATCTACTTGATTTAGCACATTTTATTAAAATATCTATATTAAAATCACCACATATCACTACTTTCTTATCGACTTTGCAAATTAATTTAAATGCATCCTCCATAGCAGATTCAAATTCACAGTAGTCCCCATCAGGTGGTCTATATACACATATAATAATATACTGTTCAAGTTCCACACATGACAATTCAATATGTCGCTCAATTGAGAGGGATACTATATCTTTACGTTCTTTACATTTTAAATAATTACTTATTATTATTAAAGAACCCCCTCGTATGGCATTTATCCTACAGAATGAACTTATAATTTTATAATTTTTAAAACCCGTAAATAATTCATAATTTTTGAGCCAGTGCTCTGTAATACATATTATATCAATATTCATACTATTTAAACACATTTCTAATTCTAGATCTTTTCCAGAAAAGCCTTGTATATTTTGGTGAACAATAGTTAAATAGGTAGACTTTTCCTTGGTCATCTCATTGCTAGAGATTTTCTCTATTGTCTTATTAAACAATTTAAATTATTTAAATTGTCAAAATTTAGTTTTGGAACATATTCCAAAGTCTGTTTGTTTAAGTCAAAATCATTCTGCTTAATAAAAGCAGTAGAGATAGCCAAATTATTGGCTAAATTTTTAAAATAAAAAACTAGCGAGGATGCTATTTGTCTCATAAAATAGAAAGAAAGATAATATTTATCTCTTGTCAAATATAAATTAAAGATTAATTTGTTTATGTCAATTACATGTATTTTTTTATTATAATTAGCTATAGTATTTAATGTCATATTAAATTAATATCTAATATTATTTTCCTCCTGTGGCAAACTGTTGCTATAAGGTAATGTAAACATAATAATTTTATTTAAATTCAAGGAACTTAAGGTATTGAAGTAGTTACATAACAAAACAAAGTATTGATCTTTAATCGGATTTTAGTTTTGAACCTTTTTTTGACTTTTGAAAATGTCACAGTACATTCCTTACCTAGTATAAAAGACCAAAGATTTCTTAGATATGATACTTTTACTTTTGAGTCATAAGTAAGTACCTACTACGGACATTGTGAAGGTTGATTGATTGAAGTTCCAAGATGCTAAGTATGATCATAGGTTTTGAATAAAAAAAACCTTTTTTTTACAGATATGCAACTGGCCCCATTTGGTGGATTGCAATCATGACACAACAACAACTACAACGCTGATATCTAGTGATGGCATCCACATATTACCAAATGGCTGTCCAGCCGACTTCAGCATACATCGTCTGCTACCACATGAAACTGATTGCGCAAAGTTCTATACTTGCACCAATGGACATAAGATTTTGATGATATGTGCGTCTGGTACTCTCTTCAATGTAAATTCACAGGTAATAATATTTTTTCAATAGTCGTTAAACATAGTCTTAACACAAGTTTACATATTGAATCAATCAATATTATTGAGACTAAAAACTCTTTTCAGATTTGTGATTGGCCACATTTGGTTGACTGTAACCATCAAAAAACGACAGCTATTACATCAACACCAGTTACAACCACTACAACACTCGTAACTACAACAAGAAAAACACAAGACACCACAAAAAGTACACCAGTAACGGAGCCAAATGACGGTAATGACGAAATGATGACAGAAGATGATGATATTCATGAGAAATCGACGACACCAAACAATGAAATCGATAAACTTCCAAACGGGTGCCCAGTTGATCACGATGTTCACTTGCTTCTCCCTCACGAATATAACTGTTGGCAATTCTATATATGCAGTCATAACACGAAGATTTTGATGAACTGTGCTCTAGGAACATATTTTGATGTTGATTTACAGGTAAGTAATGAATTGTAAGCTTATTAGAAGTTATTTCAAATTTAGAATTTTCACCATAACTTATAGTTCTCATTAAACCTTAATTTGTAATGCTGCCTAAGTATTGTAATTATACGTGAATATTTTTGGCGTGAATTTAAAATTAATTTGTAAAAAGGCAAGGAAAGAATTTGTGTCTTTGAAAATAAGTTTGTACGGTTTCTCGGTGTGCGAGTCCGGATAGTATTTGACTGATACATTTCATCAAAGTATTTGTTTAATTCTTTTATAATATTTAAGGTTGTTGTAGTTTACTAATCAAATTGGCTTTGATTGCATAAAAAATATCATCATAAAATAATATAAACATTTTCATTGATGAAATCAAATAGACATTTTTACAGCTATGACTGAAATTATAGCGAGAGAAACCTGACATTGGCTTTTCCAAGTATTTCATTATTTATTGTGAAAAATATTTCTCGTTACTTCATCAGACTTGCAACCATATTCACTTGGTAAACTGTAGAGCTGGCATGACAACATCTACTAAAGCTACTGTCTCTACAAGTTCTGTTGCACCTTCATCTACTATCATTTCCACTACGGAGAAGAAGGTAACAGAAAATGATGAATACCCAGAAGTTACTACCGAGTCGGGTACTACAGATGAAAAAGCAACTAATGCAACAACAATAGAATATTCAACTCATACTAGCAATGGCATTACTGAAAGTACAAATGGTGATGGAAATACGACAGAGCCAGCAATAATTATATCAACAACTACAGAAGGTGATAAATTATTTTATTTCGGATTTTTTTTTTAAGGAAAATAACTTTAGACTTTTGACCTTTTGCTTTCAAAGCAAGCATTGTAGTACGTAATTGCTAAGTGACATCGACATATAAGGCAGGATTCTTTCACCTTCGGTCAGTTACTGACAGCAGGATGCTCGTAGTTACTTGTTTAATTTGAATAAGTAGAAAAATATTGAATAATAATAATATTTATTTCCCAGAATATGGTATAGTACATTAAGATGTCAGGATGACAATGTTCAGCATATTCTACTGTCATTGGCATGGAAACATTCAATCTTAATTAAAATTGCAAATAGTCATAGATCTAGTCATCAGATGAATCAATAAAATTATACAGCATATCAAGGCTAATATAATGTGAAAAATTAATATAACTCGTATTTATTTTAATGTCAACTGTTACTTTTAGAAATTACATTTTAGGTTATAAAAATTCATTTATTGAGTAAAAACATTCATCAAGCAATAAATTAAATTAAATTAAAAGCGATTTATGGATTCGATCAATATTGTATTTAAAAGCAACGCATATTTGACTAAAAGTATATGACGTAAGTAGTTTTAGATGTGTTATTTAATTAAAGAACCATTTTAGGATTAGAAAGTACAGTCACTACCCTTGAATATGATACGACAACAATGTTTGGAACTACACAAGATTCTGAAAAAGTTAGTACAGATATTACAACAAAAGATAATAATACAGTTACTGCTTCTACGACAATTGATGAAACCACAGACGTCGAAAAAGTAGACAGTTCTACAATAGAGATTATTCCTTCCACAACTCACTTGAACAACGATACTGCTACGATTGACGAAACTACTGATGAACAGACAACTTCAGATATGGATATAACGACATCATCAGTGTTGCCACCACCAATATGTCCTCCGGGAACTTTTGGAAATATTCCGCATCCAGTACTGTGCAGTTCCTTCTTCATGTGCGCTGGGGGATCAGCCACACTTCTAAACTGTACATCTGGCTTCGAGTTTGACCCCGATAAGAGAGTAAGTATTTAGGTATGTCGTGTGTCGAAAGGGGCCTTGTTTCTTAATACAAGACCATACATTTTTGTTTACATTATATTAAATCATTAAAATAAAAGAAAAAAAACCAAAAGCGTTAAATAAGGAAAATATTGATAAAGAGAATTACAAACAAAAGTTTTTTAACAAATACATTGAATGAACCTTGTTTTTGGAACATTTTCATTTTAGTCGTGTGTCCCTATTTCTCCGGGTGGATGCACTCTCGGCCCTTTAACTACTGAGGTTCCAGAGTTGAGTACTACAAACGAATTCAGCACTACTGTTGCCTATCAAACTGAAGAAAACTACTCTACAGCTTCAGTTGGTACAGATCGTCCAACCCGAACCACCACGGTTGGTTTAAATAGTTCAACTCCAGAAGAGGACATAAATACTACAACTCAAACTTCTATAGATGATATGAACACAGAGGCAACTACAACCGATAGTCCGAATAAAACAACTACAGATGATATAGCGCCAGAGTTTACTGCAACCTATAGTCCGACTAAAACAACTGCAGATGATATAGCGACTGAGAGAACTACAATAGTCAGTTATACTACAGAGGAAACCTCAGACATTACGACTGGCGATGGTTCAACAAGCACAACTGATTCAACAACAACTTTAACTACGACTAAACTATTTACAGAAGGTGGTGTTTAAATTCTATTAGATATCTTGATTTTCATACACTCATGTGAACTACACTAAAAAAAATATTAAATTCAAAAATTTAATAAGATTAAAAAAAAAAAAACATACGGTATAAGCGTTTCTGGATAGATAATCTATTAAATTTATTGACCAACATCCTTGTAACTTTAAATTTATACTGTCGTACGTAGTAGTACTGTCACGCCTAATAAGCTTTTATGCGGAAATAATTATCTTTGCTTGACAGAACTATCTTTTTCCGAGATGCAATTGTAGAATTCTTAATAAATTACATTAGTCTTACAGGAACTACTGAAACTGAAGGAGATAAAGATGCTACAACTCAAACTACTTCAAATGAAATGACAACAAAGGCAATCACTAACGATAGTCCAACTAAAACAACTACGTATGAAATAACGACAGAGGGAACAACAACAGTTGTTAGTACTACGGAGAGAGAATCAGGCTCTACAACTGGGGATGACTCAACAAGCGCAACTCATCCGACAACGATTTTAACTACGAATAAACAAGTGACTGAAGGTGATATTCTTGATTCTATTTGTGTTTTATCTGTTTCTTTAATTTCCAAGAGCACTTCTCAATGAGGAAGTATTTAAAAAATAAAAATTAGTTCTTGAAATCATACTAGATGTCACTCGCGATTTTCGGATTTTGTTTATGATATTCATTCAAATTTTGTTTTTGACGTAATAAAAGTAAATTGAGTATCGAAAATTAATAAATATGACATCGTTCTGTGTTTCTTATAATATCTAACTTTCAAACTAATTTTAATTTATTTTAATCGTAAGTTTAAGTTGTTTATTATGTTACGTGTAAAGGAACAATGTTTGGTTGATACGATGAGCCAACTTATTGGTTGCTCGTAATTTTCATTCGAATTAAGTTTTGGAATGAAGAACAAAAATGATGATGAAGATGAAGTGTCATTATGCATCAACAAAATGAATGATATTAATATAAATATCAAAATCAATTCAGTCTAGGCTGTTACATAGTACTTGTGAAAGTTGAAAACTTTACCAATGGTTCGCAAAACTAAGACGGGAGATCTCGTACTGACAAGAACCGGCAAGAAACTCAGCAAGGGCTGCTTTTTTAATTTCAACTATACAACTCAACTACACTCTATCTGAGGGAACGTAACCACATAACGCACACGATACCACCGCAGAGATTTTAAGAGAGCAAGACTAATCTAGGTACTTGGTAAATAATATATTTCAATAAAACTGTTTTCTAGAGTAGGTGGTGTAGGAAGTCAATTTATTATTAACAATATTATTCTAAGAACCAAAAAGCACAAACCCACCGTACGAATCAACTTAACACATGGCTCGATGTCCGCCGTCGACATGCAAGATCAGTAGCAATAGTATAATAACTGTACGTCTCTTTGTGATTTTTAAATTTAAAGTTATAACCTTGCTGTTCGTTTAGAACAGACGTTCCTTGTTGATTGCTGAATGTTTATTTAGATGATTTAATTATGAATATAAGATTTAACAGCTGATTATAGTTTTTCAAAGTCTTAATTTCGAAAGCACAAGTTATTTGCATGTTAGACTTTGCACAAACGTCATTTTAGCCAGCAGTCATGTTATTTTGTACGAATACATAGTATATTTGATACAAGGGTAGAATATAGATAATAAACGGAATTTTTATTATAATTATCGTTTTTATGACTTTTGTTGCTGATTAATAAACCCTATTCATCCATTCACCATACATAATATAAAAATATTATTGAGACTTGATGAAGTTTTGTTGTTATAAGTTCAACAAACAACTAATAGCAATCAAATTAATTTTGTTATTGTTTTCAGAACTTTTGGTAAAAAAATTTAAATTGAAAAATTCCTAGACCTACTATGGTATAAGTACCTATTTTATTGATAAAAACTATTTGGCGGTTATATTATTGTATACCGTAGCTAAATGCCAATTTTAATTATATCACAGCATTAATTCAATTGATTTCAGTAAATTTAAAAAACCTCCTCACTTCCATTATGTTAGTTACCATTTTTCTCTATACACATAAAAAATAATTTTATTCAAAGATTACTTTGTATTAATCGAGTTGCGTTTGCATAACTCAATAAATTTCAACACGATATTAATCCGAGTTATCAGATCCATGACAACACTGACAATTCTTTTCTCTTTGGTTTAACGTCATGAATTGACGTTTAGATCCAACAATTTGTGCTGCCATCTAGTGACATAAATTTTTGTAGTTTCTTTATTTTTTTTAAATACTTCCTCATTAATGAAACGACTTTTGACTATGAAATATGTAATAATGTTAAATAACATTAGAAAATACCGTTCAAAAGTTGTATTATATATCAGAGTTATTAGCTATACAAATTTAGGTAATTTCAATAATTCAGTGACACGATTCCTACAGGTTCCACTGGAACCGAAGATTTTGTATCTTCTACGATGCAGCCAACAACGCCATCTACATCGGTCCCACCTATATGTCCTCCGGGAACTTTTGGAAATATTCCGCATCCAGTACTGTGCAGTTCCTTCTTCATGTGCGCTGGGGGATCGGCCACACTTCTAAACTGTACATCTGGCTTCGAGTTTGACCCCGATCAGAGAGTAAGTATTTAGGTATGTCGTGTGTCGAAAGTGGCCCTGTTTCTTAATACAAGACCATACATTTTTGTTAACATTATATTAAATCATTTAAATAAGTACAAAGAAAAATTTTCAAAACCGATAAAATGGAAAATATTGATAAAGAGCATCACAAACAAAGTTTTTAACAAATACATTGAATGAACCTTTTTTTTTGACCATTTACATTTTAGTCGTGTGTCCCTATTGCTCCGGGTGGATGCACTCTCGGTCCTTTAACTACTGGGGTTCCAGAGTTGAGTACTACAAACGAGTTCAGCACTACTGTTGCCTATCATACTGAAGAAAACTACTCTACAGCTTCAGTTGGTACTACTACCGTTTCGGATAGTGATACAACAGAGAGCACTACATTTGAAACAGATCGACCAACTCCAACCACCACGGTTGGATTAAATAGTTCAACTCCAGAAGGGGACATAAATGCTACAACTCAAACTTCTATATATGAAATGACAACAGAGGCAACTACAAGCGATAGAGCGACTAAAACAACTGCAGATGATATTGCGACTGAGGGAACTACAACAGTCAGTTATACTACAGAGGAAACCTCAGACATTACGACTGGCGATGGTTCAACAAGCACAACTGATCCAACAATAATTTTAACTACGACTAAACCAGTTACAGAAGGTGATGTTTAAATTCTATTAGATATCTTGATTTTCATACATTCATGTGAACTACATTAAAAAATATCTTAAATTGAAAAATTTAATAATATTTAAAAAAAAAATACGATATAAGCGTTTCTGGATAGTATAATCTATTAAATTTATGGACCAACGTCCTTGTAACTTTAAATTTATACCGTCATACGTAGTGGTACTGCAACGCCTAATAAGCTTTTAAGCGAAAATAATTATCTTTGCTTGACAGAATCATCTTTTTCCGAGTTGCCTTTGTAGAATTCTTAATAAATTACATTAGTCTTACAGGCACTACTGCAACTGAAGGAGATAAAGATGCTACAACTCAAACTACTTCAAATGAAATGACGACAGAGGCAATTACTAACGATAGTCCAATTAAAACAACTACGAATGAAATAACGACAGAGGGAACACCAACAGTTGTCAGTACTACGGAGGGAGAATCAGGCTCTACAACTTGGGATGACTCAACAAGCGCAACTGATCCAACAACGATTATAACTACGAATAAACAAGTGACTGAAGGTGATATTTTTGATTCTATTTGTGTTTTATCTGTTTCTTCAATTTTCAAGAGCACTTCTCAATGAATTAAACGAATTTAGCTTTGAAATATGTAATAATGTTAAAAAAACATTAGAAAATACCGTTCAAAAGTTGTATTATATATCAGAGTTATTAACTATACAAATTTAGGTAATTTCAATAACCCAGTGACACGATTCCTACAGGTTCCACTGGAACCGAAGATTTTGTATCTTCTACGATGCAGCCAACAACGCCATCTACATCAGTCCCACCTATATGTCCTCCGGGAACTTTTGGAAATATTCCGCATCCAGTACTGTGCAGTTCCTTCTTCATGTGCGCTGGGGGATCGGCCACACTTCTAAACTGTACATCTGGCTTCGAGTTTGACCCCGATCAGAGAGTAAGTATTTAGGTATGTCGTGTGTCGGAAGAGGCCTTGTTTCTTAATACAAGAACATAAATTTTTGTTTACATTATATTGAATCATTGGAATAAGTACAAAAAAAAATTTTCAAAAGCGATAAAATACGGAAAATATTGATAAAGAGCATCACTAATAAAGTTTTTTAACAAATACATTGAATTAACCTTTTTTTTTGGACCATTTTCATTTTAGTCGTGTGTCCCTATTGCTCCGGGTGGATGCACTCTCGGCCCTTTAACTACTGAGGTTCCAGAGTTGAGTACTACAAACGAGTTCAGCACTACTGTTGCCTATCATACTGAAGAAAACTACTCTACAGCTTCAGTTGGTACTACTACCGTTTCGGATAGTGAAACAACAGAGAGCACTACATTTGAAACAGATCGACCAACTCCAACCACCACGGTTGGATTAAATAGTTCAACTCCAGAAGGGGACATAAATGCTACAACTCAAACTTCTATATATGAAATGACAACAGAGGCAACTACAAGCGATAATGCGACTAAAACAACTGCAGATGATATTGCGACTGAGGGAACTACAATAGTCAGTTATACTACAGAGGAAACCTCAGATATTACGACTGGCGATGGTTCAACAAGCACAACTGATCCAACAACAACTTTAACTACGACTAAACCAGTTACAGAAGGTGATGTTTAAATTCTATTAGATATCTTGATTTTCATACATTCATGTGAA